AAGAAGTACGAAATCTATGACAATTCTCTTTTCCACTTATTTTATTCACTCTGTTCCCTTGTCTTTTCACGATACGTCACTTCAAGCTCCATTTTATTCGCAATTCAAACACTCGTTCTACGGTAGATTTGACACAAGATGGAACATTCTTCGAAAACCTGGAATATGCTCTTAAAATACGATATTCAGGGAAGAAAATAGGAAAAAAGATTGCCAACGATTTCACGATATTCCTCCAAAATAGCGTATCCTCCTTTTCATCCAAATATCTTCACTTTTCATCCAAAATGGAAACGAAAAAAAGGAAGAAGAGAAATTCTGGAAAAAGAAAAAGGGAAAAAAAATTTTCAGAGAAGAATCCTTTTCGTCGCGTCACTTCGAGGAAAATTATTTGGAAACCATGTTCTCAATGCGTAATGCAATGTTCGCATTGCGTTCTAGCCTCTCTCTCTCCCCTCCCTCCCCCTCTTTAACACTTGTGCGAAGATCGACGAAACACGAGGGGAAGGGAGTGAATGGCGACATCCGTTCCGCCGCGCCAAGAAATCCGAAATTTTGCCACGAATTCCTTTTTCACGGCACGTAACGCCCCTCTCCACCCTTTAAAGTTGAGGACGAGAGCGACGATGAGGCGCGAGAAGAATCGAGGTCGCGAGGAGAAATCGTCCTCGCGCATTCTACAACGCGTTATGAACGCGACGCAAAAGTTCAGCCAAATGGGAAAAATCAATTTTTTCCCGAGCACACGAGCGGATAAATCGGATGGTGGGTTGAAAATTCGATAAGGAGGTTCAAGGGCGCGATGATATTTAAGAATCCATCCATGTCTTCCTTCCTCGAAGAGGACCTCCGATGATTCCGTCTCCGCGAGATTACCCTGTTTTCTTCTGAGAGACAGAAAGAGAGAGAGAGGGAGAGAAAATAAAAGAGAATCGCGCACGAACGGGGGTTAATTCTTCACACGTCCCATACATTATATATTTCATATAATTATGCGCGACTTGTTGATAAAAAATGTCACCTATGATAACGCGTTGTACGCCCGTAACGGGAATTATAATTAACAACACCGATGGCCAAAAGGGAGGAGAAAGGGGGAGGGCAGGTGAATTGGTACCATTATTTCGCCTGGCCGTTTTTAATCCGTTTAAGATCTCTATGCCATAAACTATCAGCAACCACGCGAACTCTTGAATAACTGCACCGCTTAGAAAAAAGAAAAGAAAAGGAGGAGGGGGAGGGGAGGAAGGAGAGAAGAAAAAAAGGGGAATCGACTTTCATCACGAAGCCACCGGGGGTGCCGCTGTGGGTGCCGATCGTTAAAGATAAATTGCACGGATTGTTCCTTTTTCCCTACCACCTATTTTCTTAAGAATCAAGATACAAGATATACAGTTAAGAGGGCATAAGGTCAGGTGGCCATTTTGCAGCGGAGATACCATGGCAGTATGATTGCCAATGGGGTTCGAGAGAGGGACGACGGAGGCGGTTGAAAGGGTCTAGAAGTAGCGCGGGTAACGGGACAGGGTTGAGAGTGGTAGGGTCCGAGGGGTGGCATCGGAGGAAGAAGGGCTCCTTTCCAAGTGCGAGGCAGTGCCCTTTGAATGTGGGCAGGAGCCTGGAGCCGGAGGGTGTTACATGCCTACAGCTCCTGGCGAACGGTAGGAGAAATCGAGGGGAAGTTAAAACGGGGGGGTTGTCGTGAGGCGCACGAAGAGAGAAGAGAGTGGGTTGCGCGGGTGGTGGAAACACGCCGGGGGCGG